GGAAGCATGGTGGACGCGGCTTTTTAAGCGCGCTTACCATGCATAATCGCGAAGTGTGCAGCCTTCGTAATAACTTTCTGACGAGAGCGGATGATCCATTCTATAGGGACGTTATTTTTTGTGATAAAGGACTTACCCCTCTATCCTTAGCCAACGAGCAATGGCAAGACCCAGCAGTACAGAGCATTTCTGACGGGGAGACCGTATGGAAGGAGAAGGAGCTCCACGGGAGGTTCTACAAGGCTCTACATGAGCCTTGCATAGACACAGTCACCTCCCTCCACTGGCTACGTTTCGGTGACCTCTTTGGGGAAACCGAGGGTTTTGTCTGTGCGATACAGGATCAGGTAATTAAGACCAACAATTATCGGAAATACATCCTAAAAGATGCCGCCGTCGACAATCGACATCTGTCGAGCTTATCGCCATTCCGATGAGTCACTTAGGCATGTCATCGCCGGTTGTTCGGCGCTTTCTAACTCTGAGTATTTGCACAGACACAACCTAGTAGCCAGGATTCTACACCTCTGAAAGCTCGCTCTGAAATACGGTCAATTATAATTACTGCCATATTATAATTACTTGCCGGAAGCCGTGCTCGAAAATGACCGCGCCAGGCTCTACTGGGACCTGGCCATCATCACAGACAGGACTATTCTTGCGAATAAACCTGATATTGTGCTGATAGACCGGGCACAGTCAAGGATAATTTTGGTCGACATTACCATTCCTTATGACGAGAACCTCGTGAAAGCCGAAACAGATAAGTTGACAAAATATATGGACCTGGCTCACGAGGTGACCGACATGTGGGGTGGTATGCCGGCCGAAATTATTCCTGTGGTCGTTTCTACGATTGGGGTTAATCCCAGTCAGCCTCTCGGGTCATCTGAGGCGACTGGGACTCCGTGACGGATCGCTCCAAGCTCAAATGCAGAAGGCGGTGCTCCTTGATACCGCCCGCATCGTCTGACGGTTTCTTTCCCTTCCCCCTAACCCTCGGCCGTTTAGTCTCCCCTGCCGAGGGCTTCCATCTGGCTGGGTTTTTATATATTTATGTAATTTTTATGTATTTATTTTATTTTATTGATATTTATGTAAGTTTATCATTTTCATTTTCAATTATATATTTATACAGCCCAACCAGATGAGAAAAATATCCATCAGGTGAGCCGCATGCTCGTTTGCCCCCTATTCTATAAAAAAAAAAAAAAAAAAAATACCCCATAATAATAAAAGGCGTAGGGAAGTGACGGCCCCATCGCCCGCTGACGTAACAGTTAAGTGACAAAACTGCTACGTCAGCGCAGTCAGTCAGCGCCTTGCCAAGAGGTGTGAGCGCCGTGCCTCGGCAGTATTGAGGGTGCAAAGGCCCGTTTGTGCTTATGGCCACACAATTAAACGGCGCCGGGTCTGGGCGTCTCCCGTTAATTGACGCCCACTTTTATGGATGATGGATAAAAATAGAACACGCATAGGGCCGCTGCCTGGGGGTCACCGGGGCGCGTCTGGAGCTGGCGCTGGACGCGACAGCATGCGGGCCGCCAGTCGAGCGCGAGGTGCTGCACGACCACCTAGCAGCACATCGCATCCATCATCCCCACCAGACGGCTTGGTGTCGGCAGGATCCTCTTGGACTCGGCAAGCGGCACCCGCCGCTGGTGGAGTACGCCCCATGCGTTGGACAAAATATATGAACATAAACGCATGGCGGGCGTACTATAGGGCGAAAGGGGAAGAAACCGGAGGGATAGCGTATCGGGCTCGGATGCATCGATTTTTTGCTGCGCTGGAGCCGTCAGTTCCCGTGACAAAGCAAAACCGGGCAGACCGAGTTCGGTACATCATACGCTCGAATGCCGAAGTCGAACGACTACGGCGTGAGGCTATTCCCTCATCGAATAAACCAGCTATAGCTGGGGATGCGGCTCCTAAGGTCATAGACCAGTAGCCATATGTGGAAACCTACAAGGATCTTCCCGCTTTGGTTGATTCAGGCGATGATGGAATGGTCACCCAAGAACTAGAACAGATGAGGAGTAAATTGGAGGAGGCGATTGTGGAAACGCGCAGTATGCCTCTCGAAAATCGACCGCGACTTCTCTGCATACCCCTAAGCAAGCGGAATCGGGCTGTCGTGAGGGCTCTCAACCCGATGCTGGTAACCTATTTGGAAGCCAGCCGGGACCTTTGCGAGACGGACTCAATTCTTTTTGGCGCCGCACTGGCAGTTTGCCGTATTATTGGCGCCAAACTTCCCACGGCTGGACGCGCTACTAGACAAAGTAGCGCCATCCCAGCCTGGAGAACAAGGATTGAGGACCGTATCGCAAAGGCAAGGGCCCTTACCGTCAGGCTGATAAGCTTCAGGTCGGGCAATAGCAGGCAGAGAATTGTGCGCACCGTTAGGATGGCGTTTGCTGGGACAAATATCGGTTTGTCCCAGCCGGATATAACACAAAAACTGACGGAGCGCATAGACAACCTGAAGCAGAGAATCGCTGCTTGGGGGAAGCGGATTCGGCGATATACTGAGAGGTCGACACGGTTCAATCAGAATCGTCTCTTCCAGAGTGATCAGAAGAAACTCTATGAATCATTGGAGCGACCAATGGCACGTAGAACGGGCCCAGCACCGAATCAGGCCGACACTATCGCATTCTGGCGCGGCCTGTGGTCAGAGCCCGTAAACCACAGCTAGGGCCCTTGTACGGAAGTTGTGACGAGTCAGTGTGCAAATGTTACGCCCATGGACCCCGTCATCATAACGCCGGATGACGTAGCTGAGGCGGTCCGTAGGGCCCCGAACTGGAAAAGTCCGGGACTCGACGGGCTGCATCACTACTAGCTGAAGGGGTTCGTGGTGTGTCACGCTGTGCTCGCCCGATATTTTCAAGAGGCTCTCGACCAGAAGTCGCTCCCGAGCCTCTTCACTACTGGGATCACTCATTTGGTTCCTAAAGATCAGGATACCACAGACCCGAGCAAACACCGCCCCATCACGTGTCTACCCACGATATACAAGATACTAACATCCATTTTGAGCGCGAGAATCACTCGTCACCTGAACTCAAATCAGGTGATGTCGCGCGCTCAGAATGGATGTAGGGGCGGTGGTCGTGGAACCAAGGAACCACTCCTCATTGATGCGGTCATTAGCAAGGTGGTTAAACGCAACCATCGGAACCTCTCCGCCGCCTGGATAGACTACAAAAAGGCATTCGACTCGGTGCTTCATACATGGTTTAAGAGGGTCCTCGAGATGTACAAGGTTAACTGTACAGTTCGAGACGTCCTCGAGCAGTGTATGGGGCAGTGGAATACGATCCTTTGTCATCTAGGCGAGCGCATGACGGCTGCGTTGTACCACATAAGGATAAGAAGGAAGATTTATCTTCCAGGGCGATTGTTTGAGTCCAATCTGGTTCTGCCTCTCTCTGAACCCTCTCAGTACCTTACTGGAAGGTTCTGGGAGGGGAGTTCAGCTTTGGAGAGGAGGCACAAAAGTGACCCACCTTTTCTATATGGATGATCTCAAATTATTCGCCTCCAGTCGCTCTCATCTTATGGAATTGCTAAACATCACTTGTGATTTTAGCAATTCTATTAGAATGGAGCTGGGGACGGATAAGTGTGCGGTCCTCCATGTCGAAAGGGGAAGGATTGCTAAATCTGAGGGCATAGTACCCTAACATAATACCCTATCCAGTGTGCAGCCTACGTAATTACTTTCTGACGAGAGCGGATGATCCATTCTATAGGGACGTTATTGTATACAACATCGTATCAGGTGACGAATCCTGGATATACGCGTACTAACCCGAAACAAAAAACCAGTCACGAGTTTGGATGTTCGAAAATGAGTTAAAGCCAACAAAAATTGTTCGTTCACGGAGTGTTGCAAAAAAAATGGTGGCCACGTTTGTCTCCAAAACCGGCCATGTTGCGACTATTCCTCTTGAGACAAAGAACGGTTAATGCAGAATGGTATGCTAGCATTTGTTTGCCACAGGTCGTTTCTGAACTCCGTAAAGAGAACTGCAACCGCCGCATCATCCTCCATCACGACAATGCGAGTTCTCACACCGCACACAGAACAAAAGAGTTTTAGAGCAAAAAAACATATAATTATTAGAGCATCCGCCGTACAGCCCCGACCTAATCCCTAATGATTTCTACACTTTCCCTAAAATAAAGAATAAATTGCGTGGACAGAGATTTTCATCACCTGAAGAAGCTGTTGACGCCTACAAAACGGCCATTTTGGAGACCCCAACTTCCGAATGGAGTGGTTGCTTCAATGATTGGTTCCATCGTATGGAAAAATGTGTCAAATTTCGCGGAGAATACTTCGAAAAGCAATAAACCTAGCAAGCTAACAGCATAGCAAAGTGGCGAAGCAATCAGCTTTCTAGCGGTTTCTAACGGTTGCCGTTGAGCAATCAATTTCAAAATAAGAGGTTCAGATGCCTGGGTGATCAGTAATCGATTGCTGAAAACAGAATTTGAAAATTCGAAACCGTTCCCGAGATAATCGTGGGACAGACGGACAGACGGACAGACATCGTGAAATCAATAAGTGACTTCGCAAGCTTCGCCACTTAATAAATACATTTTTAAATAGTAATGTTGTGTCACTTCCTTGATTCCCGAAATTTTCAGTACACAGTTCGTTGCGGTGAAAATTTTAGAGTACCTAATTTTTATCGAGTTTAAATGTAGATGTCTATGGGACACAACAACCACTTACCATCAGGTGGACTGTGTGCTCGTTTGTCACCCTTAATATATAAAAAAAAAATCGCGCATAGAAAACGTTTTGGAAAGTAACGTAAATAGTGCGAGACGTCTGGTCCATCCATATGCCAAGCATAAAAATTGGGACAAATCCTGTGTACATAGCAAGAGACATATCCAATAGTGGACTTAAGTGCTCGAGTGAACATTGCGACTAGTTTAAAAAACGAAGAAACTTATTTTAATGTCTGCTTGCCTTATAGATGAATCCGCAGCACACTGTACCCACCATCGAAGACGACGGCTTCGTTCTGTGTGAGTCTCGCGCGATCTCCAGATACCTAGTTAACAAGTATGGCAAAGGCAGCGCTCTTTACCCTGAAGACGTTCAAGCGCGTGCGGTCATCGACCAGAGATTGGACTTCGACCTGGGGACTCTATACTCTAGATTTATGGAGTATTATGTAAGTATGTCGTGCAACAATTTAATCTGTCTGTCGGTCCTTGCAGAGTCTGACAGAATAAAATTTCGATACATCCAAACGTTTAGATATGCCGGGCAGTGACCTTAGAATGGACTTATCAATTAAAAATATACGAATTTGCGATAGGGTAACCATCAATACAAAACTTACGATTGGATTTCATGCGTTTTAATTTTTTGCGCGGAACACTAATTCTTTTTCTAAAATAAAGTAGCCTAAGTTACTTCTTGTAACATCAGCTATCTGTCGGTGAAAGTCCGTTCAAAATCGGTCCAGCCGTTTCGGAGATTAGCCGGAACAAACATACAGACATACAAAAAGACAGACAGACAAAAATTTAAAAAATCGTGTTTTTGTTATAAGTATCGTATATACCACGGAATATAAAAAACAAGAGGAAGTAGCAAAACATATAACTTGTACCAGAACCACTGTCGCCAAACTCACACATTCGCTATTTCAATCATTTTCACGTGATTGGCAATTAAGAAATAAAAGAAAAAGGCATTATGTTATTCCCGACTCGCTTTAGTACCAACCATAAGACCTTAAAAATAAAGATCATATTCCTTTTCATCAAAGAAGTTTCTAGAAATAATGATCAATTTCAGCTTCTTAACGTTAGATGTCGCAATAAAAATTTCAAGCTATTATAGGCACAAAGATAATGGTCATAAGGTTATCTTTGCCCTATCTAACCTGCTACTACTACGTGAATTGTTAGTGATGTATTTACACTGCTCGAACGTGATTTGAGTTATCGATATTTAGTCAATATTAAAGTATGTAATAATCTATGATGAAATTAATAAAATAACAAAATTTAGTGGGAATTGCCTTCATGCACTACGTATATTCACCGTAATTCACATAGGCGACATATAATCAGTTGACTTTGATGGAAATATATTAATATTGAGCTAAATTATCATTTTTGAAATAGAAACAAGGAGTATAATAAAAAACAAAACCTTAAATCATTGTTTATTGTCCTTGAAATAATACGTATTTATTTAAAAATTGTCGTTTTGATAGTTTAATATTTAACTTTAGAAGGTGATAAATTCGGATATCAATGTATTTATCAACTATCGCCTTTATCAAATCAGTGATATCGTTGGATTCAGGAAACTCGCCTAATTGATGGTAACTAATGGAATTGAATAAATTTGTTCCAATAAACTGTCTCATTACTTTTGCAGTGGTTATATGCTTATTGAATTTTGCTGTATCTATTTGCTTTAAGTATATTTCAACAGTTTGGCAAATTTTGAAAACATCGGTAGAGGGATATAACAAGCCGCCTCCATCTTTGGCGATTATGAATTTATGAAAATGCTCAAAATGTTGAGTGACCAATGCCCCTATACAGATGTCACATTTAATTTTTTTAAATAAAATCCTGACGATGAAGCCGGCAATATGACCTATAGCCTGGATGCCGAAATCAGAAAAATATGCACTAATTTCTTGTATTTCCAAGTCATAGCTTTCTTCTTCTAACTCAGCGTGCACATCTACACTTTTGTTGATACGTTGAACTGCCGATGAACAATTTAATATGGATAAGTTTTCTAAAGCAACGCAACTACCTTTATTTCTATCTATTAATTGCACGTGTGTCAGTATTTTTTTATAAGCAGATATGAACTGCCTCACTGTAGGATTATTGTTTGTTCCGCCTTGTGCTCTTATGTTGCAGAAAAAAAGTTCAAGATGGTCCTGACTTAATTTATAAAATGGTAAATATATAAGTATTTTGGGCTTCATCAAGTTTGTATATAAATGTTTTAACGCTTCGATACAGCCCAGAAAACCCAAAAACCCGGTTTTACGTGGACTGTTTATCATTAAGACGCCATTTTCTGTCTTAAGATTTCGGATGTAATCCAAAGCGTAATTTAAAAATGTAAATATTTTTGACGCGTTATCTTCATTCAATGCTTTTTTATAACCATAAAAATGTAAATTTCTTGAATTAAAAATGTCGAAAAGATTATTACACACAATTAGGAACTCTTCAGTGGGTTCACTATCACTGAACAATTTCATTCCGGAATTTCTACAATATTTTAGAGCCTCTGCAACACTTAAGCTGAAAAGCTGAGTAGCCAGCTTGACTTTCATTCGCTCTTTTTGAAAGTTGATGTGCCGGTTTTTTAGTTTATTGGATAAATGAAATGTTTCTTTATATTGAAGTTTATTAAGCTGAACGAGATGTCGCCAGTGAATTTTACTGCCATCTTTATTTATCAAAATTTTATTGTGTTCAAATGCGTTTCGCAATAATTTTATCATATGACAGGGGTCGAGGACTGCAACTATCGGATCTTTGGTAATAGGATGATCAAACTTGATATCTTGTTTTTCGAAGGAGCAACCAAGATGTTCTGCCATAGAAATATTTGCAGCGCAACCATCAAAAGTTAATGCCACTATTCTAACACCAGCATCATGAGTTAGCTCAAGGCACTCTTTTACCAGAGCGGCACGCTGCTGTCCTGTAATGCCATCCACAAAAAAGAAGGCGACAGGTATTTTAAAATGGCTATTAATTGCAGTAACTAAAAATACCAAAGCTTCTTTTGCCTCTGCCAAGTGATCACCTTCTAAACCCGTTCCGATATCAACATAGCCGCGAAATTTATGTCCGTCCCATTCAATTCGGCGGCGAATGCTCATTTCGTCAAGCACTAATGTGGCTAGCAGTAGCTGTTGAAATGTATCGGCTTTAAGTTTTAGAGCCATAAAAGACTCTTTGGTAAATCCTGGCTCCCCGCCTATTTTTAAATACCACTTTTTTAGAGTATGTGAATGTGGTAGGCTTGCATGAAATATTTTGCGTACGTAGTCGTATGCTCTAGGCGAGTAATAATGCAAGGTTAGAGCGAAGCTGCGGAGAGCTGCATATTATAATATTTTTGTCTTGATACATCTCCAGAGTCAGCATTTTTAACTTCTCGAACAATTAATTCTTGAATCTGTAACAATTACCAACCAGAATTAGTACCCTGTTTAGTTACGGCAATAAATAGTACTACCCCATCTATTCCCGTGAATGATGATATGACATCATATGAGTACCATAAAAATAACAGTCAAGTATTTATAGTCTATAATACATATTACCTCTTATATTGGTATTTTTTAAGTTGGCTAGGTTTTCCTTCTCCAAGGCAAATTTATTTTGTAATGTTTCTAATAGTTCTTCAATGCTTGTTATTTTCTTCTTTAATCTTCGGTTTTGACTTTGTAATCGCTTTATCTTTAAATTCTGTTTTTTAATCTTTTCTTCGGACCATCTTAACATACGTCTCAATTTTTGTTTTCTTGGCGTTGAAAACGTTGAACTTCCCACGTCTTCGTTGACCCCAACAGTTTTAACTATTGGATGAGTTTCTAGTGCTACATAATCCTGTTCATTTAGCATTTTACTGTCTGGAATTTGCGAAAACATGTTATTCCCATTTTGTTGGTTCCTATCGGAGCTTTTGTTAGGTAGAACTTTTGTTTCTACAAAATTTTCTGCAATTGGCTCAAAATTTTGAGCTATATCTTCGATGACTTTATAGCCTATATCTTTTAAGTACTTTGATTTCACTTTTTCTTCGTTATTGTTATTATCATTTAGAATACGAGCTTTCTTAGTAGGCTGAGAATCTAAATTATCCAATTTAAGTTGTCTTTTTGAAGGCCCAACCATTATTGTGACAATGCAATGTTTATTCTGAAACAGAAAGGATTCAGTATGAACTATCTCACATTTTATCACAAACAAAATAAAAATAAAAATCCGCCACATTAAAGTTTCGTTTTATATATTTTTACATTAAGCTCTCAAAACTTATTACTACTTAATATGTGAACTAAAATAGTCTGGATTAACTTACTTCAATATAAGACAAAATCTTTTTTGTAGGTACTGACGAAGTTTTTAAATAGTGGTATCCTCGTTTCGATATTAAGAAATCACTTTCAGTAAAGTGCTCCGAGCATATGCTGCTACTTTTAAATGGCAACCAGTTTTGCCTGCCAGTTGCCTTAACCCAAGCTTCCTTGATCGAGCCATCTTTAGGAAACCTGAAAACGCACAACAGGTTGTTCTCCTTGTAAATGATTATTTACAAATTAATAATGCGTTATTTTTATGAGTATTACTAAGTTACTTCTCAGGTTTAACAACCCTAATAAAATGGTCATTCATAAGGTGACAGTATCACCCTATAATTTTTTTATATTTTCAAAGACATCCAGTGTTTGCACATTTTCATTAATATGTTAGTGAATAAACAGGACGGAGATAAAAAATTATCGATTTTAATATCGTCACAACACTATCGCAACACTTTTTATTAATAACGTTTTGACAGATAAGCGTTAGAATGACGGAATAAGGTTGAATATTCGTTGAAATATAGGCAATTTCATATTTTGTCCATGTTTATTCACGTTTCTTTGCAAAAATAAATAAAATTACACTTACCTGTGGTACGAAACACCTCCATTTGAAACATTTATATTTTTACTATTGTTTCTACACTCTAATACTGCACAAAACGGCATATTTTTGCATATATTACTGAAGTAGCGACCCGTTAGTTCGCGACAAATTTAGCCTGCGACTGACAGTCAATTATGTTCTACTGTCGCTAATTGTGACACGCCTGCCCCGGCCAATTTGGGCTTCCTCTTGTTTTTTTATATTCCATGGTATATACAGTAGAACGCAGACTCTCCGAACGCCGATTAACCGTATCGCCAATTATCCGAATCGGTCCTAAGCGTAATATAAAAAATTAACACCAAGTACTATGATTAAGTAATGTAATTTTTGTTTTATTTTGTTGTACAAGTTGTAACAAGTTGGAGCTCGCTGGAGTCCAGATATATTTCAACTGTTATGGTTGAAAGCTAGAGGCAAGACACTGCATGTTTTGCATCTTCTAGTCTACTAGTGTCTACTAGTGTCTAGTCTAGTCTATTGTAGAACTGTTTGTTAAACTTAATAAAGTTTATTCTATTTATGGCAGTTTGTTTTTCTTTATTACATACCAGTCTATGTACGATTATCCGAATAGACC